AGAGTTGTAATCCAGTATGGTCTCACTCTGACCACTGGGTACACTGGCTCTTGGATCTCCAAGGAGGTGCAAGTTCAGCCACTGTCTGGGGCCACCCAGCAGGAGCTACAGAGAGATCTGCAGATTCCTCCTCTTTTGGAAGTGCCCAGATGAAGCCCAGCTGTGAAGCAAGGCAGGCTGTTGCTGCCGGCCTTGGACCTTCTTTTAGAAGCTTTGGGGCTCTCTGACCCAGCTGCAGTTTGAGAGGTTTTAGGCTGAGAGAGGACAGGCCATTCTTATGCAAAAGCCGGTGCACAGTTTGGGTGGGGTTGTAAATTGGGTGGGGCAAGGTCTCTGGGAATCACCAGGGCGGAGCAAACAGCAATGGCTGCCAGTCAGCCCTGCACCGGGCAGGTCCCTGAGTTTCCTGCACCCCCATGCAGGAACAATGATCGCTGCGAGCACCTCTGCGAGAAAGCCGCCCTCACATTCCCGCCCTATGCCAGACAGTCTAGTTTCTCCCCGTATGTGTCACTGTATGGAGGTCCCTTGGATATCACTGAACAGAAACAACTTAAAATAAAGAGATCTGTTTTTTGTTTTAATTTAAAAAAATATATATATTATTGATGTTTTTTACAGAGAGGAAGAGAGAGGGATAGAGAACTAGAAACATTGATGAGAGAGAAACATCGATCAGCTGCTTCCTGCACACCTCCTACTGGGGATGTGCCCACAACCAAGGTACATGCCCTTGACCGGAATCGAACCTGGGACCCTTCAGTCCGCAGGCCAACGCTCTATCCACTGAGCCAAACCAGCCAGGGCAAAGAGTTCTGTTTTATTCAAAGCCAAATAAGCAGCTTTTCCTTAATCAAGTCACCTGTAAAACTTAATATTTGAAACTCAAATGTTTTAGAGTTCAAAATTGTAACTTTTTAGGTGATTAAGGTGCATCTTCTCCCTATTCTCATTACCTAATAGCACAAAAATGCTTTATTCAAATTTCTACCAAAGATTCCCCAATGATCATTTGGGAAATAAAAGAAACTTTAAAAGAAATGGCCTTTCCAACTTAACTCTGATCTTTGTATAAATGGACTCCTAACTTAAAATATATTGCAGGAGATGTTGTATGGGGGTTATGAACATTCTATTGATCATCAGAAGAAAGACAGCTTGACTTTCATGAACTCAGAACAAGAGAGCAAAAGAGGATAAAACAGCAAGACAGAGCAGATTTCAATTTAGGCAGAGACTAGTTCTGGAGTCAGTGGACCTGGATTCAAGTTCTGACTCCACCATTTAATCAGTTCGATTATTTTGAGGTAAGTCCCCTTCCCTCTCTGAGTTTCAGTTTTCTCATTAATAAAAGATACAGTTTAATAATAATTTCATAGAATTGATTAAATATAAACCCTCAATAAATGCTGATTATAATAATTGTTGTTAACAATTCTGTTTATCCTTTATCCCTAAAGTTTATGAAAATAATCACTTGTACACTTGAGAACATGAGCTGTCCTAGTATATTACTATCAAAAGTTAATATTTCCCTAGTGATTTCCTGTTTATATTTTTTAAAAAATTAATGGAGCCCTGGCCTGTATTGGTCGGTGGTTAGATTGGTCCACACACTAAAGAGTTGCGGGTTCAATTTCCCGTCAAGGACACCTGGATTGTAGGTTCGATCCCGGCCCCAGTTGGGGCTGTGTGGGAGGCAACCAATCAATGTGTCTCTCTCATGGATTTCTCTCTCTCTCTCTCTCTCTCTCTCTCTCTCTCTCTCTCTCTCTCTTCCCCTCCCTCATCCCCTTCCACTCCCTCTAAAAATCAATGGGAAAAATATCCTTGGGTAAGGATTAACAATAACAAAAAAATTAATGGGAGTCATAGGAAAGGAAACACAGATTCTATAACCCTTAAGAATATAAATACTAGCCCTAGCCAGTTTGGCTCACTGGATAGAGTGTTGGCCTGTGGACTGAAGGGCCCGGGTTTGACTCTGGCCAAGGGCACATGCCCAGGTTGCAGGCTCAATCCCTAGTAGGGGGTGTGCAGAAGGCAGCTGATCAATGATTCTCTGTCATCATTGATGTTTCTATCTCTCGCTACCTCTCCCTTCCTCTCTGAAATCAGACATACATACATACATACATACATACATACATAAATAAATAAATAAATAAATAAATAAGAAACTCTTTTTTAAAAAAAAGAATATAAATACTGCCACCTCATTTTCATGTAACAGGGAAATCTGCTGTCTGAGTTGCCTAAAATATAAGCTAGTGTGCTGCTAGAGTGAAAATAACAGTAAAGGTCTTTCTGCTGAGAACCAGATCCTATCAGAACATCCTAGACTTTGAGAACCAACAAGTGTATGGAGGAGGACGGACTGACCACCAGTGCTGAAATGTGGGGGCTGAAAAAGACAGCTGGCTTGGGTTTCAAGTCTGCCACCTGTTAGCTATGAGAACTTGCAGTAAACTCTCTGATTCTGTCTCTTGTAAATGGAGATGCCAATAATCTGCCTGTTTAACACTGATACAGTCAGATTATCTAACTTCACATATTTTATTTATCATATTCAATTTTGCCCAATTATCCTGGTAATGTCCACTATAGGTGTTTGTTTTTTTTCTGACCCAGATTCCAGTAAGAATCCTACTTTACATTTAGTAATGTCTCTTTTTGTCCTTTAATTTGTAACAGTCACCTTTGTGTGTGATTTCCTTGCATTGATATTTTGGAAGTATTCAGGCCATCTATCTCATGGACTGTTGTGAGGATGAAATCAGGTAATAATATTTTTAAGAGCTGTGCTCTTTGAGCCAGTGAGGAATAGTGATTAAGAACTTGGGCCGAAACCGGTTTGGCTCAGTGGATGGAGCGTCGGCCTGCGGACTGAAGGGTCCCGGGTTCGATTCCGGTCAAGGGCATGTACCTGGGTTGCGGGCACATCCCCAGTAGGAGATGTGCAGGGGGCGGCTGGTCGATGTTTCTCTCTCATCGATGTTTCTAACTCTCTGTCTCTCTCCCTTCCTCTCTGTAGAAAATCAATAAAATATATAAAAAAAAAAAAAAAAAAAAAGAACTTGGGCGAAGGAGCTAGATTTCTCTGAGTTCAAATCCCAGGTCTCTCTCTCTTATTAGCTGTATAACTTTAGTAAAATTACGACTCTGTTCTTTAAATCTCATCTATAAAATGAGGGTAATCGTACCTACTCACTACTGTGGAGATTAAATAAGTAAATATATGTAAAGTGTTCATAACAGTCCCTGCGCAGTAAGTATTTATCAACTGTTAGTTGCTATAGAAGGTAAATTCTTGTCATGGGATCTGAGTTTCCAAATTCATGTCTTAGCCAGGAAAAAAAAAAATCACTCATTTAATTATAAATTGCTTTTTTCCCCACCAGTGTTTACTAAATGTCTACAATTATGCCAGCTGGTGCAGTAAGAATGAAAAAAAAAAAGATTCTGAATGGAAAAAGAAGTTTAAAAGATATGATCTCTGATTTCCAACCACTCACTAGTGTGAAATTACTAAATATGTAAACAATGAAGGTCGAGTTCAGTGCTGCTTCCCTGAGTAAGCATGCAGCTCATGCTGAGAGGAGAACAGAGAAGGAAGGGGTCCGTGTTGACTCAAACAGGTGAAGAATGGATAAAAACTGACTAGTCAGAGGAGAGGCAGCCATTATTCCAGGCACAGGAGACCACCTGGGCAAAGGAATAAGAATAAGGGGTGAAAAGGTGAGAGCCGCCAAAACCGGTTTGGCTCAGTGGATAGAGCGTCGGCCTGCGGACTGAAGGGTCCCAGGTTCGATTCCGGTCAAGGGCATGTACCTGGGTTGCGGGCACATCCCCAGTGGGGGATGTGCAGGAGGCAGCTGATCGATGTTTCTCTCTCATCGATGTTTCTAACTATCTCTCTCCCTCCTTTCTCTATGTGAAAAATCAATAAAATATATTTTAAAAAAAGAAAAGGTGAGAGCCGTGGGAACTCAGAACGAGCAGGGCATGGGGTCAGAATACGGGGCGTGAGTCCAGGCACAGCCCTGGCCGCTGGCCGCTGGTGGGGGCCTCGCCCGGTGCACCGAGAGGCGGTCCGCTTCCCAGGCAGGGCACACAGCAGGGCGGAGGTCTGATCCCTGGTCTGGGCGCACACGGGAGGCCACCGATCCTCTCTCCCCTCAAATCAATGAAACCACCTCCTCCGCCGGCCGTGCGCTTGGCGGTGTCACCTCCACCCAAAAAGCCAGGCCACCAGCTGGTTCCCAGGCTGGGCTGCGGGATCCCCAGGAGGGGCGAGCAGGAGGCAGCCGATCAATGCTTCTCTATCCCTCTCCCTTACTCTCTAAAATCAATAAAAACATATTTACAAAACAAACATAGTCTCGGGTGAGGATTAAAAAAAAAAAAAATCCAGGTACCAGCAACCAGGACAGAAGGTCAAGAGAAGCCATTTTATTCAGGTCCCTACGAATGTAGTCAGTCAAACAGAGGAAACTGGGGAGTCAGGATGAGCAAAATCACCTCCAAAAGTGTAGCCTGCTTTCACCTGAGGAATGTTGTGTGGATGTTCACTTAAAGCGGGAGTGTCGAGCAGCAGACGAGCCCGGAGACATTCCCGCTGGAAACCTTGAGCTCGGCCCCACCGACCAGTCCTCGTCCCTAACCCCAGGCCGGAACTTCCCTGCCTAGTTGACCGAGTTTAGCAAATGGCCAGGAGCGACTCGCTCACGGGGGCATTTCTATGCACCAGGGCCTCTTCGCGCTGAGAAACCGGATGGGGAAGGGCGCGGGGCGGGCTGGAAAGTAAAAGGAAGGGGAGAGAGGCCCAGTGGATAGCGAGAGCGGCCCCGGGCCCGGGGGAGGGTGTTGGGGTCGGGGGTCGGGCGGCCCTCAAGGGGCCCCATTGGGCCGGCGCCTCCGGCGCGCGTGTGCTCGCGGGCGGGGGCGGCCCGCGGCCCGCGGCCGGCGGCGGCCAATCCGGGCGGGCGTCCGGGGGGCGGGGCTTGCCGGCTCGGGCGCCGCGAGTCCTCCTTTTTGCACACACACGAATACAAAGAGCCATACGACCTTCGGGTATCCTTTTTCCATTTTCCTCGCCCTCTTGACTCTGTGTGTGCGTTCAACATTTTTAAAAATAGAGGTCTGTGGCAGTGCCGGGGTGAGGAAACTGTGGCTCAGGGCAATTTGCGCTTTCCCCCCCGTTTCTTTTTCTGTCTCTCTTCCTCTTTCTTTTTTCCTCGTCCAGGTTTTAAATATACCAAGAAGTTGAGAAGCAGGATGGTCGTGTACAACTGTTTCCAGTCAAATTTATAGAGATTTTTTTTTTCTTTTTGCTATCACATTTTAAGAACTGGTAAATTTTTATGGTCGAGGGATTTAAAAAATGTGGCTGCTCGGGAAGTATCGATTTCGTGTTTTTAAGCGGGCTGAAGGGATCATGTAAATTTCTGCCACGGGCAGTGTCGCAGGCAGCGGAGATGGACGACTCCACGGGGCTGTTTGCGTGCGTTTTACACTCTCACGCAGAACCAAAAACAAGTGGCTTGACTGTGGCAACTGTCCAAGGCCAATAGGTTAAAAGTGTTTGGATATTAGCATTTCCCCGGGGAGCGGGTCTAAGCCCTTCTTACAGCGTGTCTTACATTTTCATGTGTACGTGTGTATTTCATGAAGCAAGTAATTTCCTAAAGGTTTATCTGGGGGCTTTGTGCTTTGTGTCTGTGTACAGCGTGTGTATACATGCCGCGTTAGGTTTTGTGTTCAAAAGCGATCGCCTTTGGTTTTTATGTGTGCAAAGCAGCCCCTAGGGTGTGCATTTCTTTTCTGATGCGTTCCCAAATGTGATCAAAACAGGGTTTTGTGTGCAAATTATAGAGTTTAGAAGAATTCCTACACTAGGTAGCCTATACTCAAGCACTTTCATTCTGTGTGCACTTACTGTATTTTCCTGCTCCTCTTCTAAAGGATCAGATGGGTGAATAATTAAATAATTGCCAGGAAGTATACAGTCCGTTTGGCAAACGAGGGTAGGCAATCGATCGAATCTGTGGTTCAAAGCCCTTTTTAGGGACTGTTTTGCCTAAGTGGATTTGCTTTTTATTGTCTCTGTTCTTAAGTGTACAGCTGTGTACATTTTGGCATTTATGTGTGGGTTGGTTGGTGTGTTCAAGAAGGGAAGTTCTCTCTTGGCTTTTTGACAACATTGTCGTTTATATGTTGAGATTTGTTTGAAAAGCCCCGCAGCTGGCAGAGGATCAGGAAAATGATCCAGTCAAATCCAGTTCTGGAAAACTGTCCGTGGTGGCGGGTGGGGCGGGGTAGGGGTCGGAGGAGGCAGAGGCACATGATAAATAGAAGGGAGGGGAAATGCTTTTTTATCCCGTCGCGTTTCTGGAATAAAAAGTCAGCTCACGTCTAAGTTACAGAGAAAAGTGTGAACTAAAGGACAACAAGCTTAGAGCAGAGCCTCCAGTCATTTGAGCTGCATTCTCATTTCATTCTGCCGCAGAGCCACGGCCTCCTATCAGGAGCCGGAGGAGAGTGTTTATGTTCGGCCCCGTGTCGGCAGGTGGGAGCGGAAGCACCGACGGACGTGGGGGGACAGGGAGAAACCGGAACGTCGGCGCGCGGGGCGCGGCAGCCCCCGGAGGATGATGAGGACCCACCTCAAGGTCAAGCTCCATGACTGCGGGTGACGACGGTATTAGTTCCCATCCCTCACCCACGGCCCTAGTTCCAACAGTAACGGAGACACTAAGCAACCACGGCGATGACATTATTTGTGCAGATCCCGACATCCATGATCAGGAACGTGGCCCTGTGGGGGCTCTCTGCCTTTCTTACCTGAACTGAATGTCTTTTTATTCCCCGACAGTGCAGGCCAGGTCAGTGCTCAATAAATATTCTCAGACGTGGGTCATCCTGCAGGATTAGACCTGCAGGACTGTGAGGTCTCGTCGGTTCTAGCGGCGGGTAGTGGTGGCCGTGCCGGACGTTTCCAGTGGGGTTTCTCGCGTTTTCATCCCCGCCGCAGCACTGCGGCCATCACACTCACCTTCGCCTCACTTTTGAGATTCCCAGAAAAGGGGGGCTCTGCCTGGCGGGGACACAGCCCAGGCCCCGGCTCGCGGCTGCTTGCTTTTACCAGGACCCCAGGCTCATAGCCTATATCCTTGCTTTGAGTTTCTTTCTTTGTAAGAAAGATAACTCCTCTCACGAATATATCGTGGCTTGTTCTCCTACCAAAGCAAAGCAAAGCTGAGCTGAGGTGATGTTGTGTGGGAATCCGCGAGGCCCCTCGAGGTGAAAGCGTCTTTAAACTACAAGGAACTGCCATTGGCTAGTGATGGAAAGATCTGTGACCAAGGCCGGCAGGACCGAAAGCCTTCCACCGCCAAAGGTGTGAAGCCGATTTGTGTGTAGGGGGGTCTATTTGTGGCCACTGTGTTTATAATGTTGTACACGCAGCTTTGTAAGAGAAAAGCGAGGAAATGGAAAAAAAAAAAAAAAGCTAAAGATGGCGCCTGACCGGCCTTGAAAAAGCCTGCAGTCGTGTCCCTCCCTGAGGGGGCCCCTCCCTTCCCTGCTCGTTGAGTGACTGTGGGTTGGAGCCAGTAGCGTCCCTGGCTCGGCTCCCCCCACACTCTGACTGCCAATCAGAGGGAGCCAGAGGACAGGCGGGGCGGGGCCTCCCCGGGTGCGCGCGCTGGCCGGGTACACGGGCGCCGCGGTCTCCCTCAGCCGCTGGCGTGCGGATCTGGCAGCGCTGAGTCAGCGGGCTGGGCCGGCGGGGCGGGCGCACGTGGTGGGACACCGCGGGGCTGCGTCGCGGGGCCACAGCGGGAATTCCGGGGCCTCCCTCAACTGGAGTCCGCAGAGCTTTCGTGGCCGCGTAGTCTACCCCCGGTATCCCAGCTAGATCCCGAGCGGCTCGGGCCAGCCTTTCCCGGGAATCACCGCTTTCCCGGGACTCCCAGGGCTGGGCTCAGGCCGGGTCGCCCTGTCCCCTGTGGCTTCGGAGGCAGTGCCTGAGCTCCTCGCTGCGGCCACCCTGCCTGTAGCTCAGTGGTTATCAACCTTCTGGCCCTTTAAATACAGTTCATGTTGTGACCCCCAACCATAAAATTATTTTCGTTGCTACTTCATAACTGTAATGTTGCTACTGTTATGAATCATAATGTAAATATCGGATATGCAGGATGGTCTTAGGCGATCCCTGTAAAGTTCGACCCTCAAAGGGGTCGCGACCCACAGGTTGAGAACCGCTGCTGGGCTCTTCGGTAATAGTTCTGTCCCTGGTGCCCACCTTAACTAATATTTAATCAACTAACATTTGCCGAGGGCTTTCTGGGCACATGATATAGCTTTAGTTTTTTTATTTTTTAGTTTCTCCAGAAGTGCAGGATGAATTCTTTACTATCAGGCACATTTATGTAAAAAGCTTAAGCCGGAAAATTTAATTTTACCAAGTAGCATGTTAGCACATGTAAATAAAAACTGCTACACTGAGTTAAAAACTCATACCATTCCACAATTATACTCAGAACTTTTTTGATTAGGTGAAATCCTTTTCATTCTACCTGATTCTGCCTTCTAGGTCTACATCTCCCTTTTTTAACCCCTAAAAGTGAGGTCTTATATATATTTTTTTTTTTGCAGGACAGTAGTATTTTATGGTATTTGCTTATCTACTTTTGTGTGATAAAGAGCTCATTTCTTTTTTTTTAAATATATTTTTATTGATTTCAGAGAGGAAGGGAGAGGAAGAGAGAGATAGAAACATCACTCATGAGAGAGAATCTTTGATTGGCCACCTTCTGCATTCTCCCCACTGGGGATCGATCCAGCAACTCAGGCATGTGTCCTTGACGGGAATCGAACCTGGGACCTTTCAGTCCACAGGCCGATACTCTATCCACTGAACCAAACCAGCCAGGGCAAGAGCTCATTTCTGATAGAAGTAGGTTTCCAGAGGACTTTTAACAAGTGAGCCATTTTGCATCTTCAAGTGGAGGAGCTGGGCTGACCACAGCAGGAGCTTTAAGTGGCATTTTCCTTTTTTATTTCTTAAAATGAAAATTATGGCATGAATTGCTATGCTTTTAGTAATCACATTTAAGGAAGTCCATTGCTAGCATGACCCTGAATGAGTCAAGGGCCCATTATAAAACATATATCATCTGAATGATACCATATCATACACATCTAGTAGTGAAAAAAACTTTTATTTTTCATAGTTTGGAGGTGAACTCAGTCGTGCAGAAAATTCAAACTCAAAATGGGTAGAAAGCAAGCAAGGGAGCTGCCAAGAGTGTGATATATTTAGTTCTAACAAAAATACATGTGACTTGGGAAGAAAGGGATAGTTAAGATTATGGACAGTCTCACCCTGAACTATCTAAAGAAGATGAGTTTTCTTTCTTTTTTTATCCAAATATTTGTGAGGAAAATATCAAAATTATTGAAATGTACATTTCTTTTTTAACTATATTTTTTGATTGATTTCAGATAGAGAGGAAGAGAGAGACGAGAGAGAATCATTAATCGGCTGCCTCCTACACATCCCACACTGGGGATTGAGCCCATAACCCGGGCATGTGCCCTGACCAGAATCGAACTGCCCCCTCCTGGTCCATAGGTCGATGCTCTACCACTGAGTCATGTGGGCTGGGCTGCTTTGTTCTTTAGACATTCCCATTCTCACATACACTGTTAGTTCCTTGCATATAGGGATTTTGTCTTCCCTTCAAGTACTTAGAAGCGATAATCCATTTTGGTGACTCATTCTTTAGCATGTTATTATATATAAAGAATTTTTAGAAAAATCTCTATTTTTAAAAAATGTTCATTTTTTGTAATGGGAACACATGTAGCTAATGAAATTAGTGTTTTTTTTAAATATATTTTTATTGATTTCAGAGAGGGATAGGGAGATAGAAACATCAGTGATGACAGAGAATCATTGATCGGCTGCCTCCTGCACGCCCCCTACTGAGGACCCAGCCGGCAACCTGGGCATGTGTCCTTGACCGGACTCAAACCCGGGACCCCTCAGTCTGCAAGCCAATGCTCTATCCACTGAGCCAAACCAGCTAGGGCTAGTGGTTTGTTTTTAATCACTATCCGGCATTTATCTAGCTAGTAAATGTTATAATGTGAAATATTCCTTTATTCCCTGCTGACCCAGTTTCTTTCCTTGTCCTTTCATTTCAGTGTCTTAGAGTTTATGTGGGAGACTATTGCAGGAAGCAGAGAAATTAAGTCAACAATAATATTTATGGAAATAAAAAAGAGTAATTTGAATTCCCATTGTGCTACAGTGCACTGTACTTAATTCAAGAAAACACCCATTTGTTGTCCTGAATCTGACATTCTAAAATGGACATAGTATGTTAATACACAAAATAGAAAAGCACAAAAAAATTGAGGAACAAAGAGAATTCACAATAGGAAAATATATTTATTATTAACTCAGTTTAATAATATGCAAGTAAAGTTGAATATTATGCTTAGTTGAAAGCCATTTACTATAGTAAATAAATTGCAAATACTCCGTTTTCTTAATTATCTTTCTGATTTGCACAATAGAAAGTTTCATACCTATAAATGCATCTTTGTAGACTTTAATTTATTCTTAGACATTTTAGACTAAATTTAGGGGAAATTCCTCAAATTCCATTTCAAGCCATTGCATTGTTTTGTGTGTGTTTTTAAGATTAGGAAATCAGGATGGGTGTCCAGGGTGGGAACACAAATGTTTCAGGAATAGTCATAATATCATCCAGCTGCTATTGTGGAGCACTGCCCGTGTACCAGCGCTCTGTAGATGCCAGACTCTGTAGATGCCTGACTCTGTAGATAATCTTAACAAAAGCACTCAAAGTAGGCAGGGATGAGAACTCTGGGCTCAGAAAAAAAAGTGATAATTTGCCCAAATTCACACAGCTCTTAAGTGAAGCAGCAGGATAAGTACCTCCCCTCCCCTCCATTTTGAAAAATTTCCAGCTCAGTGCTGTTTGGGAAAGATAACCTGGGAAAGACGGTTTAAAGGGGAGGGAAGGCTCAAGGCAGACAGCATGTTGGCAAGGTAAGGACCTCATGCAGGTGGGATAAAGGCCTCTTGCAAGAAAGAGTGTTTGGGGCAAGAGTATAGCAGTCATCAGTTTGTCCCCACCAGTGTCCCAATTTGATGCATCTTTTAAAATTATATATATATATATATATGTGTGTGTGTGTGTGTGTGTGTATAGATTTCAGAGAGGAAGGGAGAGGGAAACATCAATGATGAGAGAGAATCATTGATTGGCTGCCTCCTGCACGCCCCCTACTGGGAATATGTCCCGAAACCTGGGCATGTGCCCTTGACCAGAATCGAACCCAGGACCCTTTAGTCCGCAGGCCGATGCTCTATCCACTGAGCCAAATCGGCTGGGACAGATGCATCTTAATTTCTGATTTTATAAATACTGAACCTAACTGACAAGCATTAGTATGTTGCCATCTACATAACTTTCTTTTTCTTACAATGCCCATGTTTCAGACTAAATTCCTTGCATGATGTTGGTTAGAAAAATGAAAAACCCTACAGGAGCAGTTTATGCCCTTATTTAGAAGGAAAAGGAGCTAGAAATGATTCATCCATAGAATTGACATGGAATCACTTAGTGCTTTCCTTTAACCTTTAGTTTAATTTGGCTTTAACCTTTCATTTTAGGCTTAGTTGTGCCTTCCAGTGGCTAATGACAGAGAGGCTATAATGGATTTGAGTTCAGCTCTTGCAAGTGAATATCTGGCACAGAAAAGCATTTCTTTTTTAAGATTTCAAATGCTTCAGAGAATAACAGTTTTATTTCATTTTTTATTGATTTTAGAGTGAGGAAGAGGAGAGAGAGAGGGAGGGAGAGAGAGAAACATTGATGTGTGAGAGAAACATGGATCAGTTGCCTTCTGTACGCACTCTAATCGGGTATCGAACCCACAACCTGGGTGTGTGCCCTGACCAGGAATCAAACCCGCCACCTTTTAGTGGACAATGCTCCAACCTACTGAGACACACCGGCCAGGGCAGAAAAGCACTTCTTGATATAAAGGGTGGAAAGAACAAGTTAAAGACCATTCTTGCCCAGCTGGTGTTGCTCAGTGGTTGAGCATCAACCTATGAACCAGGAAGGAGGTCATGATTCGATTCCCAGTCAGAGCACATGCCTGGGTTGTGGGCTCAATCCCCCGTGGGGGGCGTGCAGGAGGCAGCTACCAATGATTCTCTCTCATCATTGATATTTCTATCTCTCCCTTCCTCTCTGAAGTCAATTAAAAATATATTTTTAAATAACTATTCTTTAATAATAACCAAATGTAATGAAAATGTATTGTCAGGTTTAGACTTTAGTACCTCAGAGGCATTGATATTACCTGTTTCTGAAATGAGATTGCTGATTCCAAAAAAAAAATCCCAAACAAAACAAAAGCTAAACAAAAAATTTCAATATGCCATAATTTTTCCTAACCGCCTCCTCTGCTTTTAATTGTGAAGTTATCATTTACAGGGTAAGATAGAAATGTATGTCTTGAGGAAATTGCAAACATACTTAAGATTTTGTCACTTGGGGATCTCCAGGCAGAGGATTCTTTTTTCTATAATCAAGTATCATTTAGAAGATGACAGTATGAAATTCCTGTGAGTGTTCTCAGTGGTACAAACCAACCCTCCCACACCTTTTTTCTCTCTCTCTCCTGGAGTAGTTTAGTTGCTTAACTACAGTAATTCAAAAGAGAGGCAGTTTGGTTTATCATTGATATTCTGGTTTCTCCTTTCATAGGCACTGGTCATGTGGGCAGTGGCAGCACTTAGCTATTTAGGCATTCCAGTTGAGCTGTGCCTCTCCCTTAAGGAGCATGTGAAGTGGAGATGAGGGCCCCAGGAGTGATCTCTCTGGGCTACAGGCTGAAGATTCGGGACAGTCAGTTTCCTTTGCAGAGGTGGAGGCCCAGGTGTACAACACAGCAAGGGACTCTGCAGCCCTGGTTTACTGCAGCTGATCCAGCGTTTCCTTTCTCTCCCCTCCCCCTCCCCAAAGCATTCATGATATGATAGTGTGAGGTCAGTGACATATTGAGGGCTGCAGTGATCAGCATATTTCTTTCTTTCTTTCTTTTTAATCCTCACCCGAGGATTTTTTCCATTGATTTTTTTTTTTCTTTTTAGAGATCGTGGAGGGGAGAGGGTGGAGGCGGGGGTGGGGGTGGGGTGGGAGGGGAGAGAGAGAGAGAAACGTCGATGTGAGAGAGACACATGGATTGATTACTTCCCACATGTGCCCCGACCAGGGCCTGGGATCAAGCTTGCCACCAAGGTACATGTCCTTGACTGGGAATAGAACCCAAGACCCTTCGGTTCGTGGTCTGATGCTCTGACCACTGAGCAAAACCAGCCAGGGCAGCATATTTCTTATTTAGGAGTCTTCCTCTGAATGCATCTGTATGAAAATTATGGAGAGGACAGAATTATGATGCTTTATGTCAACAGAAAGTGGTATCAGTTCAGAAAAATAAACACTAGGTTGAAAATAGATCACTGGATCCTGCTGTCTTCCTCTGACCTTGAAAAAGAAATGTAACTTCTTCACATTGTCTCTTCTCTGGACCTGGTGTAACATGTGTTCCCTAGAGCTGCCCTATGGATGAGATAACCTATGTGAAATGTTCTGAACTCCTTAAGGCATGATGTCAAAGCAATAAAGTGCAATATTGTTATTACCGATCGACATTTTCTTCCTTAATCTTCTCATCTTTTCAGATCCTGGTGGGTTTTTTCCAGTCCCCTCTCTGCTCCTTAGGTTGGAGTGGTAGGGGTTCCATGCTTGGGTGCAGGAAAAATGCCTTCTACCCTCTGAAACTGTGTTCATCGGGAAAGCCTTTGTAGGCACCACCCTTTCGGTAAAGGATGAATGTGACACCCAGTGTGTTGTGCTAGGGGAGCACAGGATCTGAGGACAGAAGAAGGCCCCCCTCTCTCTGAAGGACGAGGAGAAGCAACCATGAACTGTGTGCTCCTTCACAGAACACACAGCCTGGTGCCCAGGCTCCTCTGATCATCCTCCACGAGAAAGAAAAGTGAATCCAAAGCGGCCAGGGTCTCCTACAAACTCGTGAAGTCCAGTCGGCTGGGGACACCTCTTGGAGCAGTCCAGCAGTGTGCGCGTGGTGGTTCCTTATTCCGTCAGCCATGTCCTTCAGTGCCACCATTCTCTTCTCCCCTCCCAGTGGCAGTGAGGCCAGATGCTGCTGCTGTGCCTGTAAGAGTGAGACTAGTGGGGGCAACACAGGCTCTCAGAGTGGGAATCCTCCTCCCAGCACCCCTATCACAGTGACCGGACATGGCCTGGCGGTTCACAGTTCGGAGCAGCTCCTGCATATTATCTACCAGCGGGTGGATAAGGCAGTGGGTCTGGCTGAGGCTGCTCTGGGTCTTGCCAGGGCCAACAATGAATTGCTAAAACGTCTCCAGGAGGAAGTGGGTGAGTTGAGGCAAGGCCAGGTGTCCACCCCTGATGAAGACGGGGACAGCCAGGCACATGGTTCCCCACTTGAGGAGCCTGGGTCTCTCAAGGAGAGTCCCGGGGGGGCCTGCAGGACCGTGTCTGCCGTGGAAGAGGAGGGTGACGGCGTGGGCAGCGATGTGCAGGTGGTGATCGAGCAGCAGCTGGGAGCAGCCTTGGCTGTAGGGCCTGGCCCTTTGGGCTTCCCAGCTGCTCAGAGAGATGTGCGGCTCCCGGATGCACCCTGGCTGCCTGTGAGGGGGCCCCAGTGCTCAATCCCGTGAGTATATTGCTGCCGAGCAGAACACGAGTGTTGTTGCTTCTTAGTGCTTTTCCTGGCCTTTTCCTTTTTTCTTTCTGTATTTCCCCCCCTTCAACATTTCTTTTGTTGGTACGTGTGATAAAATAGAAACAATACCAAGTTTCCTTTGTCTTCAGGGTTAATCAGCACTCCTGTTTCTTCCTGAACCATAGTCTCTGTGGCAGTAGGTCATTTCTGGTGTGTGTGGTGATGGGGTGCCCTTCCCTCCCTCTCAGTAGCTGTGCGGCACCTTCTCCCCCACAGCTGTCTCAGCTGCTCCATGCTCTGTGCCTCTCCTGGCGAGAATGCCTGCCATGCACAGACGGCTCATTTATATTTTATCACGGGCCCTCTGCTTGCCAAGAGGAATTCAGTACAGAGAGATGGGAATGAGAGGGGAGAGAGGCAGAAGTAGAAAGAGAGATAGAAGGAAAAAGTGAGAGGGGAAGGACAAAGATAATAGACGATGAGGGAAAGAGGAAGGTGGAAATGAAGGGTTGAGGAAGGAGAAAAAGTGAAAAAAGAGCACAGTAAAGAAAGGTGAATCTAAATGGAAAGAGAATTTATGCTAGAAGAATATGAGGTAAGGTGGGAAGAATGTAGAGGAAGGGAAATAAAATGAGGAAAAGAAGCGGGTCACTAAGAGTAAGAGAATAGGTAAGGAGAGGGGGAGGCAAGCGAGCACGTTTGTGAGTAGGCAAAGACACTGAAGTGCTTCGTGCTATTTCAGTTTCTTTACTGCTCAAGGCCATATGAGCAGGCAAATCCTGGCTGAGGAAAGTGAAAACTGCAGAATGTCACCCATGGAAGTATGAGAAGGAGATGGGGCAACTGTAGAGATCATAGAGATGGGAAAATATGTGCTGCCACTTGAGAGACCGCGGGAGGCCTGTCAACTCCCCCACCAGGTTCTTCCTCTACCCTTTCCCTTTCCCTTCTCCTTCTTCTCCCCGCCAAGACAAGGCCCAGACAGCCAGCAAGAGTTGAGGAGGGCACACAGGTGGATGGAAGGGATGCTATGCCCAGTCCATCTGTGGGCCTGAGAAAGGAATGTATAACCCCTCCTCCAGTGCACCTTGCAGCTGGTCACTGCTCCCCAAAGGCCTAGCTATGTGGGTGGGTGACAGCTACTACTGCTGTCCCCAGGCTGTGCCTGGCCAGGACTGTCAGTGGTTTGGGGCTGCAGGAGGAGGAATTGGGAAGGTGGTAGGAAGCAGGAGGGTACCAGGCCAGGCAATACCCTGAGCTGTGGTTCCTTCAGGCAGGGAAGGCTTCCAAGCCGACAGGATGGAATTACATTTCCCAGCGCAAAAAGCAGCTCACAGGTCTATAAATCTCAGCCTCCTCCCCCACTTCTTTCTGTGTCCCCCACCCCCACTTTCACTGTTTAGTTTTCTTGGCTGCAGAAATCCTCCCTCCTTCTTCCCTCTTTCCCTTCCTCCCTCCTTCCTTTCCCTGCCCTGTATGTCCTTGAATGAGGGCACAGGCAGGCAAGTAGATGTCAAGGCAGTGAGAGTTGGATGTGACCAAGGCAGGGTGAAGGTGAGGGCACAGACTGGCCCCACAAAGGAATTGGGGGGGAGGGGGATTGGTGCCAGCCTCTCTAGAAATTTCAGACTCTGTATCTCCCTCCTTTGCTCCCATTTTTTCTCCCGTTTTCCTCTCTATTATTATTACCATTTTATTTTCTTGTTCCTTCTCTTGGTTTTCCTTTCTTGTCATCACTTCCTCCCCCAATCCCTTTTAGACAAAACACTTACCTAGCTACAGTTCTTATGCCCAAGAGCAAATCATAAGTGACCCCTCACAGATAGAGCATCAGAAACATGCCTTATCCTTGTAATCAGTCCTATGGTAATGATCCAACATGAGAAGCCCTGCACACACAGAAATATTTGCCCAACACTCTTATTGGAGGCCCAGAGAAACAAGCCATTGACCATTAAAGACTGTGCTAGATTCCCCCCCTGCTTTCCACTCTCTGTTCATTATCCTTGGCCAAAGATTGATGGTTAACAAGGTTCCCCTCAGCCTGGCTGGCTAATAGGCTATTCTTTTTTATGTTCTTAGCTGGTGGATGATTATGTGGCCTCTGAGGGTGCAGTACAGCGGGTGCTGGTCTCTGCTTATGCCAAGCAGCTCTCACCAGCCACACAACTGGCTATCCAGCGGGCAACTTCAGAGACAGGGCCAGAAAATGGAGTCAAGCTGCCACTGCCTCGCCCCGAGGACATGCTCAGTGCTGCTGCTGCGCTGGAAGGTGCCTTGGAAGAGGCAGGCCCAGGGGGAGCTGGGGAGCTGACACACTCTCTAGGGTTTACTGCTTCCCCCTGCAGGACCAGAGGGAGTGGGCAGAAGAACTCCAGGCGCAAGCGGGATCTGGTTCTCTCTGTGAGTGAGCTCCGTTTCTATGAACTTTTCTTCAGATGGAAAGATAAATGAAGAGTACAGTGTGGGTGGATTTTAAAATTCCCATATTGAATGCATGGTGTCCTGAATCTTACTGGAGTGGGAGGGGCAAGAAGGAGATTGTTCCAGAGCTCTAGGGTTAGGCAGTCCCCCACCTATCAATGGTACTTTTAAAAAATATAATTTTTTTTTATTGATTTCAGAGAGGAAGGAGAGGGAGGGAGAGAGAGAAACATCAATGATGAGAGAGGGTCATTGATTGGCTGCCTCCTGCACGTAACCCGTGCCCCGACTGGAATCGAATGGTGACCTCCTGGTTCATGGGTCAACATTCAACCATTGAGCCACACCAGCTGGGCTCAATGGAACTTTTTTAAGGCTTTTCCAGATAAATTGATATCTTCCATTTAAAAGTGGGGGCATCCTGGCTAGTGTGGCGCAGTGGTTGAGCCTCAACTATGAAATAGGAGGTCACAGTTTGACTCCCGGTCAGGGCACATTCTCGGGTTGTGGGATCAATCCCCAGTATGGGGCAGGCAGGAGGCAGCCGATCAATGATTCTCTCTCATTATTGATGTTTCTGTCTCTCTCTCATTCTCCCTTCCTCTCTGAAATCAATAAAAATATATATATTTTTAAAAATAAAAGAAATAAAAAGGGGGGCATATATCACATCTCCCAGGGATCTAATAATCCTAATGGGAAGTCTTTAAGGGATGGAGCAGTTTGGCCACTGAAGGGTGGCACTGGAAACTGCCTGCAAATGACCAGTGTGGGGGTAAGCAGCGGGGGGCCCTTTGGGCAGAAAGGGCAGAGTGTCCTGAGATGGTCCCAAACCTGAAGAGGCAGAGGCCCATTAGGCACTAAGCTCAGTTGTAAAAGTTTGGGGAGTTTAGTGAGTCTGAGAGCTCTTGGCAGAAAAGGTACTGACCTGATCCATTTCTTTCTAAAGCCGCGGTATGGCTTCAAGCCCTAGGAGCATGGTTCAGCATCCTACAGTGCACAGCTATCGGGCCTAAAATGTCAGTAGGGCCAAGGTTGAGAAATCTGTTCTAAGGTGACCATAGTCCTTTGGATCTGTGTCCAAAAACATCTTTCTGATAACCATGGGGGTGTTCTTTAGCCATATAATGTTCATATTGACTATAATGGGTTTCCACGCCCTGGATAATGGCTAATGAAGTAACTGGAGAGTTCCGGTTAGGAGTGGAGATCACCACTCACATCCAACCAAAGTCTTACCACAATATATAGTATTGCCCATATCTTCTTGTTAGTCTTAGCAAAGATTGAAAACAATTAACACCTCCTTTATTTACATTACTTCTTTCTTCCTTTTCCTTTTCCTAAGAGATCCTACCTTATTCTCCCTTTCATTTGATTTGTTTTTACATTGAGGGATTTTCCATGGGAAGGAAGACACCATAATCAGTTTTAAGTGGTTTCTAACCCTCATTTCAAATCTTGGTTATGTTCGGGGATATCTGCTCACTTATCAAGAATAGGGAATGAGTATAATTTCTTTGTCATGGATTTCTGACCCAAGAGGTCCACTTTTGCTGCCAGGGATAGAAATGGAGGCATTTCAAGGGATTTCCCCAAACTTCATAGTGTTTATAAGTTATGAGTAAATGTATGATAATTCTAATTTGCATAAAATGAGGATTTTTTTTCCCCTGTCACTTCCATTACTCTCCTGCCTCCAGTTAGAGGTTTGGTGTCGAGGCCTGGCTTCTCCCTGCCCTTTGGAGAGCCTGGTGGAACAGCAGACCTTCTGGGGGTGCAGTATGCTCACTCATTACAGTACTTGCAAAGTACTGATATAGAGGACCAGTCAGGGAAGTTTGCTGCCCATCCCAGAAGACGATTTAAAATGTCCTTGTGCCAGACTGGGTTTACAGGGAGAGAGATAGTTGCAGATCTTCACTATTCTGTGGATTGCTTCTAGGGATCCAAAAGAACCAAACCAGAACTCTTAATTCCTTGGAATATTGTACATCCCAGCCACCCCTTGTGGAAAGCCATTTATTTTTAGCCAGCAGCCTTTACATAAGTTTTAATACTATTGTCTAGAATATTTTCCCTTTCCACTTCAAGCCTGGTTTTTTATCAGCTCATCTCTTCCAAGCCACTTGAATTGGAAACTAGGTAACTTTTTTTTTCTTCCTTCTTTTGCAATTCTTTCAATTTCTTTATGAAGCATTCTCACATCTCCCTGTGATTCCTTAAGTTTGGACTTCTAAGAGGTAAAATAACTCTATCAAATATGAAGCTAGTATAATAGTCTTTTTCATAGAGTGGAGATCATAGCCACAAAGAATTAACAGTAATTTCCTAACTTGATATGGTCAATCAGCCATAGAGGTAGAAGGGTAAATTGGGCATTTCTGAATATGAAATTGAACTTTTGAGGTCAGGATATGAGTCCATCAACTCAGAACTGGGTAACATCCATTAACTGTGAGAGCTTCGGATGAAAATATAATCAGAAAAACAGAACTAAATTTAATAGGAAGAAATTTAAAATCCTACATTAAAATTTTTTAAAAATCTGCCGAAACCGGTTTGGCTCAGTGGATAGAGCGTCGGCCTGTGGACTGAAAGGTCCCAGGTTCGATTCCGGTCAAGGGCACGTACCTGGGTTGCGGGCACATCCCCAGTGGGAGATGTGCAGGAGGCAGCTGGTCGATGTTTCTCTCTCATCGATGTTTCTGACTCTCTATCTCTCTCCCTTCCTCTCTGTAAAAAATCAATAAAAAAAAATATATTAAAAAATAAATAAATAAAATTTTTTAAAAATCTGCAGAATGGTAGAGATAGTTAATCCATGTGAAAAATGAACTTGACTACAGGTTCACTGTGAATGAATGCTATGACACTGTGAGTAGGGATGGGGTTGCTAAGAAAAGTAACACCATCTTGGGTTTCATTCCTAGAAGGGTAGAGTTCCACTTGGGGAAGTAATGCTCCCTTTGGCCAGACCTCAACTGATGAGTTAGATTTGGTTCCAAGTGCCACGTTGTAAGAGAGAGACTAGCAAACCAAAGATCCTCATAGTTTCATGACAAGTCTGTCTGGGAACTCTGTCACGAGGAATGGCTGAAGGATGTGGGGTATTTAGACTGGGTAAGAGAAGACTTTGGGGGTTCATGAAAGCTGTCTTCAAATATTTCAGGTGCTATTATGGTCAAAATGGGTCAGATTTTGGAGCATCTAAGGCAGAATTTTTTAATAGAAATGTTCAACCGTAGAATAAGCCAATTCAAAAACTAGTGAGGACCCGTCATTAAAGGTGTATAAGCAAAGCTGAAAGACAGCCTGTTTAATGATGTGAAAGGGACCTTTCCACTTCACATTTCTATTATTCTAGGTTTGTGTTTTTCAGACCATGGTGTGGGTACCCCTGAAATTTGTGGTAATGTACAAAGGTTTATACCTGGAACATTTTCCTGGATCATCAATTTTACTAGAAAAATTTGGAAGATATTTTTAAAAGTATATTTTTATTGAGAGGAAGAGAGGGAGAGAGAGAAACATCCATGATGAGAGAGAATCATTGATCAGCTGCTTCCTGCACGCCCCGCCCCCCTTTACTGGGGATTGAGTCCACAACCAGGCATGTGCCTTGACTGGGAATCGAACCGTGACCTCTTGGTTCATAGGTTGATGCTCAACCACTGAGCTACACCAGACAGATATTTTTGTATTAAAAGAAATACAGATATATTGTGAAGAAATTTTTAAAAATTGCAAGAGTAGGTGGCTTCAAGAAATTTCCCCTTATAGTAGCCCTGATGTGTATCTGTTCTCTCCTTGCTATTGGGAGTATGTTTGTGGAAATGTCTGAGACCCTCTGCTCTAGTGATCATATTCCTTAGGAGCAGAAGCAAGGCCAGGGATGATCTTGGAGTCTTCACACAAATTAATTGAAGGGGAGGGCATTAGAAATACTAACTTGGATAGGTTCTCTGGCTAAGAAAGGACATTGACAGAAAGATAGAGAGAAAGGTAGAGAACTGTATGGGGACAATGCATAGGAACCAGAGGAGGGTTTCATCATATCCACCCCTGGTTTGATTCTGTGTTTGTTTATTTGTTTGTTTCCCCTAGAAATTGGTCCACAATGTGCACAACCACATCACCAATGACAAGAGATTCAATGGGTCTGAAAGGTATGATCCACTTGAGGGAAAGTCACAGCATACTTTGCCAAGGAAGGGAAGCTGAGGGGGCTGCTCTAATATAACAACGAGGCTAAGGCTTTGGATACACAATTGCCTCTTATATCCTGTTTTCGGCCATGGAGGAATTTATCACAAAGTTGATTAGTGCTGGGAATCTCTGTTTGTCTAGTTTCAAAAATGCTGATTGCTTTATTCACTCTCTTCTCTTTGTGGCAGCATCAAATCCTCTTGGAATATTTCAGTAGTGAAGTTCCTTCTGGAAAAGCTCAAGCAGGAGCTGGTGACCAGTCCCCACAATTACACGGATAAGGAACTGAAAGGTGAGAAAAACCAAGTGAACTCCCATCTCATCCTTCCTCCCTGTTCCTGGGCAAAGGGGAAGAGGCATAGTAGAGATGATTTAGGTGATTTGAAAATAGTGGGCTTAAAAAAATTATTTTTGGTTTCTTCTCATCTACAATATTCACAGGATTGCTTCTAACAGCCTTTTTATTCCCCTACTCTGTCTGAAATGAAAATGGGAGAAGGGAAGGGCTAGAACACCATTATGCATGATATTTATACAGGCCTGAATCTACAGTGTTATGAAAAGGAGATCAGAATGCAGGCCAGCCTTTTGTCCCTGAGTTTAATGTCCTGGGCTTTCTATTTTCCTTGCTCTTCTGTTATTTAGAAAATTCTCGAAAAATCATCTACTTGAGAACACTTCTGCTGAAGAAACTTCTAGGGGTATCGAGGACATGT